AAAAGTTAAAGCATTTGAATAGATATTCTCCCAAAGAAGATATACAATTGGCCAATAAATATATGAAGATATGTTTAACATTCTTAGTCATTCGAGAAATGCAAACCTAAACCACAATACAACACCACTTCACACCCATTAGTGTAGCTGCTATTAAGAGATGGACACTAACAAATGTTGGCAAGGATGTGAAGAAATTGGAACCTCCTTACATTGCTAGTGAGAATGTAAAGGATGCAGCCAATTTAGAAAAGATTTTGGCGGTCTTTCCAAAAGTTAAACATAGAGTTACCATATGACTTGGCAATTCCACCCTTAAGTATATATATAATCCAAGAGAATTAAAAAATATATGTCCCTATAAACACTAGTATGCAAATGTTCATCATAACATTATCTATATAGTCAAAAAGTGGAAACCACTTAGGTGTCATTAACTAATGAATGGATAAAATAGGCTCCATCCCTATAGTGGAATATTACTCAGTCACAAAAAAGAACGAAGTACATGCTACAACATGCATAAACCTTGAAAACATTATACCAAATAAAGGAAGTCAGGCACAAAAGGTCACATGTACAATTCCACTTATATGAAATGTCCAGAACGAGCAAATCCACAAAAAGTGAATGTAGAGATTAGGGACTGCCTAAGGCTAGGAGAAGTGGGGAGTGAAAGGACTGCTGATGGTGATTAGGTTTCTCTGAGGGCAATGAAATTGTTCTGGAATTAGATAGTGGTGATGGTGGAGCAACTCTATAAATCATATTGACTCATAAACTTGAAGAGATGAATTATGTTATGTGAATTATAGATAAGAACAGTAACAATTCCATCCCAACATTGCCAAGTATTGACAAAGCTTCTCCGTGTCTCAGTGGCCCTCTATGAGCTAGCCCAAATGTTCAGTCTTACCTTCTTTGTGCCCTTTAAGGAAGACCCCGCTCCCCACCTGCTGTCTTTGTTCCCATAGTTCCCCTCTCCCCTTGCATCTCTCCACACCTGAATGCTACTCCCCAGGCTGCAAATCAGCGCAGCTAGATTCTATCTACAGTGAAATATAGCCTGCAGATGGATTCACAGTGGGGGGTTTTGTTCTGTTAACTGAAATAGTTACTAAGATGAGATTTCATCTCAGTGAGCATGTTCTGGCCATGGCAGAGTCTGCGGGCGCCCTACTAAAGAGCTGTGCTCCCCTTCTGCAGTAAGAATGTTGGTGCTGTGCTGGTGTCTGCTCAAGGAAAGTGGGTCCCCACCCCCCACACTCCTAGTGGATGGGCCTTATCACCCGGAGCCACAGGCCACAGAAACAGGCTTCGGCTGTTTGAGCAGAAGACAGTTGTTCTATGTCAGAAGCCAACTGACCACAAAGTGAATGAAGCTTAAGCTCCAGGGTCCTTTTCTTGCACGGCCCCCATGTGAAGGCTCAAGGTTAAGTTAGGGAAGTCAGGCTGCATTTCTACATGAACGTTTTTGGGAAACATAAAGGGAACTAGAAAAAGAGATCTGTACCTCCCGATGGCCAATCTTTGATGCCACTTGTTAGTCATCCTAAACAAATATTCACTTTCATGTTTTCCGTGAATGAATGATAGAAATGTCAGAGTTAGGGACAATGGTTTTAAAGGAGTAACAATAACTATGTTCAATGTGGTAAATGAAATCCTACTACATATTTAAGAAAAAAACTAAATCAAAGTTTCAAAACCAGAAATTCAAATATTTCAAAGGAGGCTGAAAAGTGAGTCTCCTGCAAGGAGGACATGAAGCTGGACATTCTTCAGATATCGCCAGGTTGTTCAAAGGCCACCAGACATGGCAAATGTGCTGACAGCCTGTGACCTGTTATTTCTAATGAAGTAAGAGGGAAAGAATGTTCTGATGTAAAGAGAAAAAAGTACAAGAAGTGATAACCTCTTCTCCTCTATGTTCTCTTCAGCCTTTAACACCATTGTCTCATGAGCATGTGATGGTGTTTGGAGCTATGGCAGCCACTTTGCGACCCTGAGGGGAAGTGAATAGGACACGTAAAAACTAAACTGGAAGCCTGAAACCATGCTGAACATACCATGGCACCACCCACCTCTGAAGTTTTTGTCATGTGAAATAATAAAGAGCCCTCAATTGGGTATTTGTTATTTAGAGGACACACTAATTAAAATAATGACTTTTTAAAGGAAATGGAGAGATTTGACAATATCAAACCTGCCAGCCTCTGGAGATAGGCAGGCACTCCGACTAGTGATCTCCCTTTCCCCCATAGGTAACCCAGTGTTCAGTCCTGTCACATCATCCTAGAGGTTGACCAACTGTGCCTTCCTCTACAAAGCATGGACCCATTTCTGCCTCCCGCATCCAACCTCAAGCAGCTAGCAGAAATGTCCCTTCCTTACAACTGCCAGGGCTTTGTCATGGCCTCTTTTCTAGCGCCCATTATATAGCTCCTATCACCCCTTCTGAGGGCAGGCCCGTGCTTTATTCTCCCTCTGCCACCCACAGCGGTGCCTGATTATAGGAGACACTCAAGCCATGTTTGCTGAAGAAGTGAATAAACATCCATTGCAATGAAGAACTACAGTGTTCCAGAACATGCAGAACGTCCCAGCTCATCAAGGACATTTTCAGTGGTGGCATGTGCTGCTTCTCAGCCAGGAGGCTAATTCCCACTCTCCCCCAATACTCCAGTGCACCTTGGGCTCCTCAGTCCTATCACACGGGGCACACAGAGACCTCAGGCCCTCTGCAGCTCTCCTGCTGTTCAGGGAACACTCTGGGATAAAGGCAATTTGGAAAGACCCTTCCCAGCACGCGCACACACACACACACACACACACACACACACCAGTCAGGATCCAAAAGGGAGTGCAGGCAGCCGAGGGCTCTGTCCCCAGGGCTGTTCTGAGGTAAAGGCTCCTCAGAGCACCTGGAGTTGCTGACAAATCCTGAAAGCGGGGCTTCCTCTTCTACCACTCCTGGACCTCATTAAACTACAAACACTTCCTGAATTTGTGGCTGATTTCAGTTCCAGTTTCTGGTAGATTTTTTCTTGGAATTTGACTCTTGGGTCTAGACTTGGCTATTTTTTTTTTTTTAATTAGGATAAAAAAAAATAGATGTCATAAAATTTGCCATCTTACCCACTCTTAAGCATGCGGGTCAGGAACGTACATTCACACTGTTCTGCAGCCATCACCACCATCTCCTTCTAGAACTCGCTGGTCCCAAGTGACACTGCTGCACCATTAAACACGAACCCCCACCCCTCCGCTCCCAGCCCGACAACCAGCACTCATCCTTCCTGTCCCTGTGAATCTGACTGAGCTAGATCCCTCCTATGGACGGAATCATGCAGCATTTGTCTTTTGTGACTGCTTGTTCCACTCAACATCATGTTCTCAGGGTTAATCTAAATTGTCACATGTGTCAGAATTTCCTTTCTTTTTAAGGTTAAATTGTATTCCATTGTAAATACATAGGACATTTTGTTTATCCATTCATCCGTCAGGGGACATTTGGAAGGCTTCCACCTTTCAGCTATTGTGAGTTGCTATGAACATGGTTGTCCACATTTCACTTCTTGTGTGAGCTTAGCCTTTGACGGCCCCTAAGTCAGTCAAGACCTGGACCTTGGTCAGGGAATTCTCTCGGGTGGTCTCTACTCCACAGGTCAGGGAAACAGAATCTCAGGCTGGGCTCTCAGGGGATGTTATGAGTTAAGGGAGGTAGAGTTGAGCCAACTGGGGGCTCAAGAGCAGGTTCCTGGCCCCTGTATGCTAGAGAGCAAATCGGGGACCAGCGGGCAAGAAGCAGGAGAGAGCGGGGCGCATGCACTGTCTCTGCGGGAGGAGACACATACCAAGGCATGGAGGAGAAGAGCAGGACAAGGGAGGCCTCTGTTCCCCAAAGGGCAGGCATGCCGCAGAGGTGACCCCAGAGGCTTGAAAGGGCAGTCCGGGCTGCAGGGGCAGAGGTTACGAAAAGGGAGAGGAAGCTGAGACTAGTGCTATTCAGAAGGCTTCAGTGAGAGCAGCCCCAGCCTTGGGGGTGGGGGAGGGGTGGGGGAGCAGGCCCAAGGAATGCTCTCTGTTGATAGATGGCCCCCAGGTCAGCCAATTCCTCCAGCGGGAGAGAGACACAACAGAAATTCAAAGGGCTGTTGCTGAAGTAGGGGTGAGGCAGGGAGGTACGCAAGTGTCTCTGTCCTTGGCCTTCTGCGCTGTGGGCTTAGTATTAGTGGCAGGGTGGGCAGGCTACACCTGGGAGGCAGAGAGGGGTCTGGACACCGTGAGTCCATCTCACTGTCTGGCACATGCAACTTTCAGTTGGCTATGTGAATTATTTGGTGCCAAAGTGTCTCGGTTCAGGTGCCTCATCATGACAGCCTGGTGAGGCAGAAGCCGCTAAAGGGAAAATTTGTTGCTTCTGTGGACCTCTGAACATCTGAAAGTATAAAAGTGATTCAGGCATGCCCCTGAAATGTCATACCAAGGTACAGATCTGAGGCTCTTGTTCAGGCCCACGCCAAACTTAGGGCTCCACCGATACCCTAGCTGCCAAGGAGGGCTGTTGCTGGGGACAGTTTCAGCTGCCCCCCTCCCCCTGGTAACTCCAACTCAAGGAACTTTCCTGATTTGATACATGATCACAGAAACCTCCCAAGCAAAATGGAACTCTTGGGAAGAACTTCGAGGCAGGCTGTCCCCATAATTCACCTTCTAGAGATCCCCAGAGTCCCTGAGATCAGCCTGGGTGTAGTGACATGGATCTGAGGCCAGATCTGGATGCCAGGAAGCCTGTCTGCTTAGCTTTGGACTGACACTGGAGCCAGAGGCAAAGATGGTCTGATGGCTCCATGTCCCATGATGCAATGTATCCGCCGGCACTGCTCCTGGATACTGGTGGTGGGGGCGGGTTGGGGGGTGGAGGAGGTGGAGAGCTGCATACTATAAAGGCTTGCTCTCTCAAGCTTGGTTACTCAAGGCCACACGGTAATACTGACCAGACTGATGGAAGAGCCTATTCATGCTGAGCTCCCACAGGAGATCAAAGGCTCTTGAAGAAGTTTCTGGAGGCCATGAAAGCAGCTAGGAGGAGGGGGAAAAAAACAAAACAGGTTAGCTGGGTCATTTCTATGGAGTAAGAGTGGCAAACCTTTATTACCTTGGATTTAATAAATCTAATTTATCCCTGGAGTTCATATAATAGTAGGTCCTCAACTGAGATCTTCGAATGAATGAATGAACCCTACCATTACTCTGGGAAATATGTTCCAAGTGGCAAGAAAACCAAAGCCTCAGGATTGAACTGTCCAAGTCTGTCCTGCTAAGGCTAGTAGTGTGACCATGTGAGTGGCCACGTGGCTACTGGGCGCTGCAGACATCAGCTCCCCCAATCCCCTACTCAGATACAAAGATGCTATGCAGAGCCTCACCCAGAAATCCCTAAAGGCCAAGGGCACTCCTTCTACTGATCTAGTTTTAGCAGTGGTAGGTGTAGGGGGAGATTTTGCCATTTCTTCTTTTTTTTTTTTAATTTATAATAGTTGATATTGCCATTTCTTAAAGACAGAGATCCAGTGTCTTCTCTAAACTTTACTCCTTCTAGATGATGCTCAGGCCCTGAGTCGAGCTATGGGGGCTCCCAAGGACAGAGCAATGAGCAGGATTTCCTCATGTAACCTTCACATGGGGTTATCAGCCCCAGTTTAGGCACAGAGCTCATGCTAAATAACTTGCCCGAGGCAGCGAAGGAGCTGGAAACTTACACCTAGCCTGTGGCCTCGGGCCTGGGTCCCAAAGGCGCTCCAGGCAGTGTCAGGTCACACAAGGACCCTCTGTGGGCGACATCTCAGACCAGTTCTTTGTGCCTCCCAAAGCCTGATTGTACGTTTGTCATATGCTGTGCAAGGAGGGATGAGAAGCTGCAATGACTGGGGCAGAGAATAATGACTGCACTGTTTCCAGGATTGGCCCTCTACTCGGGTGCCCCCCACCCCCGGACCTGGGGGAGGGGCAAGGATAACAGCCACAGACCGTGGCCCAGAGTGGGTGCTTTTTAGTTCTGGGGCAGGGTGGGGCCATGGAAAGGATCCCAGGAGGAGGGAGGGATGACTTTTTCTGGATAGCGGCCAGTCTGTCAGGCTGAGCAGTTCCTTGAATGATCCACCCTGCACGTTGGCTCTAATGTACAGCAGGGGTTCAGGCTCCAACGGGCAGGCATGGGACCAGCTGGGACTTGTGACCTGCTGGTCCTGGGCAGGGATGGTCCTGGGTGGGGGCCAAGGTCGGCATACTCATATTTGCGTTCAAATGACAGCAGCTGGTTCCTCGGCCATCTCTCCTGGCTTCCTACTGTCTCAGTGCAAAGGCTTCAAGCCCCAGGGCAGAATGTATGCTTCCCTCCCTCCCTCTCCACCACCAAGGGAAAATGCTGCAGCAACAACTGGAAGGAATGAGAAGAAGTGTGAAGACCGAGCAGCTGTTGGATGCTTTTTCAGCTCACCTACATCTGCGCAACAGGAAGCAAAGGCGCTAACACCTGAGCACCTCTGCTCTAAAAGTGCAGCACCCCCTCCTGCCCTACCTCTCTGAGGGTTGCTGCGGGGCTGTGGTGGGTCTAAACAGCCCTCTTGCTGCTATGGGACAATGGCAGGGATTTGGAGTGGGTACAGTGGGGACTTGGAGCTTGGGTACAGAGGAAGCACCTGTTGAGTAGCATGAACTGAATCACTCAGAGGGTTGTTACTAGAGATGCAGGTGACACCCTGGGAAGCACACACTCTGGGCTTGGGGGGGGAGCGATACCACAGGCCGGTCCCTGCACCTCCCTGACCCTGACATCAGGCTTCCTTTCTCTTCTTGGGGCGAACCCTAGAGCACCTGAAGCCAGGCAAAGGTCTGGTCCCTCCCGCTAGTGGCCCTACCTGGGCTAAGAGGCCAAAACGCTCCTGCCGCCTAGTGGCAAGTCCGTGGACCTCACCTGGAACAGCCATCGGAGCAGAGGCAGGGGGCAGTCCAGCACGTGCAGATAGAGGTTACTCAGGAGGCCTCTTCTAAGAAAGGAGAGTTGCTGGGCCGGCGGGGAGCTGTGGAGCAGAGGAACAAGGTTAGGGAAGGCCTCCAGGCCCGTCTCAGTAAAACTGCGGGGGATTTTCATATTTCAGCTTCCCTGGGACTCTAGAAACACATCAGTGATTGCTACAGACAGAAAGAAATGCTTTTAGAGCTCTCGATGCAAGGAATGGTCAGAAAACAAAAGGAACACAAGCCATCACTGTTTGAGACGCATTAGTGAGTGGTACGTTTTGTCCCTGACAGCGGGGGAAATGAGGTGTTCACCGGGACTCTGAAAAGGAGCTGTGTGGAGAGGAGAGAACTGGGGTCACACCCCTCTGCCCCGGGCTGCAGCAGGCAGACAGAATTACCCGCCAGGCCCACGTGGGGCCAGCGTCTGGGTCTGGTTACACAGAGGGTTTCTGCCCCGACTTGTGTTTTTCCGAAACAAAGGGGACACCTGAGAAGATGGGGAAATAATAGAAAGGGACCCAAGACGGGGAAATTCTGGGAAGGAAATAACCACGACGGTGCCGTGGAGGGTTTTCCGGGACATGTGGGCAGCAACTGCCAGTCAGTAGGGAAAAGCACCAGGCCGGCCTGGAGCCTGAGGCCATCACCTGCCTCTCCCCCTGCCTTGCGGGACAGTGGCTGCGGAGGAGGGGGCTGGTCTGGGGGCTCTGTTGCTAGGATACATCATCTTGACCAACAGGATCCACGGCCCCGATGAAATGAAGAGCTGAAATAATTTTGTGGGGTTTAAGGGCCTCTGGCGGAGGGGGCTCCAAAATGATTTCAGAGGGGCTAGCTGTCCCCCTTCCCAGCCTGCTCATCCCGGGAGGCGGGGCTTGTGTGGGTTTTTTCTACTCTCTTCGCACTTTGTGAATCCTCCTTTGCTCTCTCCAGATAATGACCAAAGGGCAATGTTACAGACTGCAAGAGACGAAAAGTAATTTCATATTTGGCCTTTTTAACAGCTGAATCCATGTAAAGAGCAGTTCAGATGCCGCGCAAAGTCATGACTCTACATAGAAATTTCCCTGATGAGCCCAACCTCCTTCTCCTTTTTTAAAAAGGACATCATATTTTTATCTGCCAGGAACAGAATGCTCCAAAACAAAGATTCTCCTCGAGCCAAGCTGCTGTCTCCTTGAGTATGTCCAGGCAATTTACAAATCGTATACTTTTTTCTCAAACCATTTCAGTTCAGAGGAGAAAGCGCCTTTGTTCCCTGTGTGTGTGAAGTTGAACACTCCAAGACAGACCTTTATTTGTACATACAAACACGTGTGCACCCCACGGCTGCCGAAACCTCTGCTCTGCTTGGTCACACACACACACACTCACTCACTCTTTTATGCAGTGACCCCGAGATGCATGCACGCTTCAGCCACTGCCCCCCCGACCCTCCCCCCATGCAGACAGTATGTAAGCAAAACAATGTCAGGAGCCCTCACGAACTGGGAGGACCGGTGAGGGTGCTTGTGGCAAGGAGGCTGGAGCTCTGGGGATGCTAGGGAGACTCTGGACCTAGCATTCTGCTCAGGGGCACCCCGCCAGCTTCTCAGTAGCCAAACTGATTGTACAAGCCCCTGTTGGCTCGAGATCTGCACATTTCCAACTGCTCCTGCGAGGGAAAGACACCCCTTGGGATGCAACGTCTCCCTTCTGCCACACCAGCCTTGCAGCCCAGTTTCTGCCAGAGAAATATCAATCTGCCTTGAAGTTCGTTGCTGACTTAGGTTTTAGTCTGTCAGACAAGGAGCGAGGCAGAAAGGCCGTGGTCCGGCTGTGCTTTGAAGCAAATGGCTTTCAAGGAATTCTGCGTCTACAGCTAGACGAACTACAAGGAGTCTCCTCTGCTGGCTGGGTCACACGGCCAGGGTGGGCGCCAGGCACGAGGGCAGAGCTGCTCTGCCTCAGCTGAACCTTGAGCCCTCTCCTGACGGTCAGCGGAAGGGTCAAGGCCAAGGGCATGTGTAACTTCCAGCCTGGTAGAGGACAGGGATGGACCTTGCATGTAGATACTGCCCTAACCTGAGGCAGGAGGGCAAAGCCCCTACATCACCTGAAGGAAAAGGGAAGGGGGTGGGAAGTGTATGTGTTCAAAGAGCAAACCCTTGGGTGACAGCATCAACTGCTGGCAGGGTTACTGAAGCCCACGTTGTGTCCACAAGTCAAGTCAGCTGGTGCTGTGGCAAGGCCTGCGCTAAGGTCAGAGGTTGTCATCTGTCAGAGCAGCCGGGAGGGGGGGGGCGGGGGCTCAGGCAGCGCAGGCCTGGCTGAGCACACAGCCCCATCTGCAACCCCGAGGTCCCCGAGAAGGAGGCCCCACCTGTGACAAGGAACACCCGCAGTCGGGAGGCTGCTAACTCCCAGCCCCAGCCGAGGACAGAGGGCCTTGGGAACAGGAAGAAGGAAGGTGTGTAGGGGGAGGACATTCACCAAAAGGGGGAAGCACACAATACAAGCGAACAGGCGTGGCCAGCACGCTGGGCTCAGAGCTGAGTCCGAGCCGAGTCCGACCGTCCGCTTGGCCGTGTGTGCCTGAGCGTGCCCAAGTAAAGACGCCTCTGGCCCTGCCTTCTCGTCGGTGTTATGGGCAGCAGTCCCAGAGGGCAGCGTTTCTAAATGCCTTGGGAAGCCCAAGTGAAGGCAGAGGGATAAACACCAAGCGGAGTTATTTATACAGTATCAGTTTCTGCGCCTTTGCCAAGTTCCTCAAATGAAAGCTCGAGTAGAAGGCCTGGGAGAACAAACTAAGGGTGGTCGGGGCACCCACCCTGCTCCTCTTTCTTATTCTTCCCTTTGTTTGAAGATGAGAAGCACCCGAGTTAGAAGCCCAGGGGTCCCGGCAACCACCCAGCTGGCTGCTTCCGCAGGTTCTTTATTATATGGGGCAGTAGTGGCCAGTGGGGCAGCCTGGCCTGTCCACGCTCTGTAACTGCTGGATTTATTTCACCCAGGCGTCCACCCCAGCCTGCCAGGAAGAGGTGGAGGTCCCAGCGAAGCAAGGGCTGGGACGGCTGGGGCTGAAGGAGATCCGCGCTCCACCTCTACTCACATCAGCACAACCGGAAGCATTCTCCCGTGCCCCGAAGCCGTCGCAGAGAAACAGCAATGCCAGCGCACAGAGCACACCTCATGGGAATGGCGGCGGGCGTGCCCAGTGGACCACGTGGAAGCTGACACTCCAGCCTGAAGGGGCCCTGGAGGGCCATGAAAAATTCAGCAGGCAATTTCCACCCTTTCCACCTGGCTTGCTCCAGCCTCAGAGCTGCCTGCAGGCATAGGTCCTTGGGCTTTTCCGTGCAGGGGGACTGGATTTCCCTTTGAACTGTTGTCAAGGGAGAAGGGAACTTGCAGCCCCGGGTACCAGCTTCTGCCCTACAGGCATATGACTTTGGTGCCAGGGAACTGATCTGAGGACAAACAAGTCGCTGGGGGATGAAGAAGACGGAGGCTCTGGTCACAGGCCTTGCTTACGGTGAATCCCTCGTCACAGCCGTGGGCTCAGGGAGCACAGAAATCCCTGTAGGTCCCATCCAGGGATGTGGGGCTTGGGCCTGGAGGCCGCCTGCACTTGCTCTGTGATCCGAGACAAACTGCTTGCTTAACTGTGCCAAGATTTCCATTTTGTACAGTAGGAACAGAGATCATATTCCTCCTCACAGAACGGCAGGGAGAAGCGAATCTATTTCAAACAGCGATTTTTAAAAAAATCGCATTCCCTTTTCCTACCTCTTCTGACAAAACGATACATGTTCATTACGGAAAGTTGAGAAAACACAGAGGAGTATAATGAGGGACATAAACTACCTGGGATCTCACAAAGTGTTAACTTCTTGTACGGCAAGAAAGTGAACCATATTGCTCTTTGTGAGATCAAGTAACCTTTTATTCTTCCTCCATTCATGTTTCCGGTAGAACACAAAGGGATAATTATTAAAGGATGAGTATTTGCCACTCCTGTGTCTGGATTCGGAGTCCGTGGCACAAACAGGAAATAAAAGATGACCCAAAGCTAACTGATGACCTTCAGGAAGTGGCCCTTACCCATGCATAGCAGGAGTCCCCTGACCCCACCATGTGTGATGCAGCTGCGGGCATTCTTCCAGAAAGCCCTGTGGACAGGAGGCGCTGGGACGCCATCTCTGCTGTGCTTCATTAGCATACTTGAGGGAGGAGGGTCTGGGTCTGCCCTGCAGGGAGGCTGGCTGGCCACCTGGCCCCCTTTGGCAGGGCCCTCGGAATGCCGGTCACTGCTCCCCAGGCCAGCTCATCTGTCAAACACTGCCTGCCGGCCATCCAGTTCGTGTGGGTCAGAAAATGTGCTGTGGGCATGAACCTGGATGCCAGAGCAGGTCGGGAGATGCTCAGTTCTCCCTCTCTGTCCACCCTGCCCAGTCCATTCTTTGTCCCTCTCCTTTTTCCGGCTCTACTCTCTCTCTTCTTTTCCTTCATTCCCTCCCTTCCCCACTTTCCAGCATCTTATCAGAGACCTTTCCAATTTACAGCATGACCCTTTACCCACAATCATATACTGAGATCCGATCAAATCACAGCACAGCCAGGGATCTATTCCAGAGCTGCAGGCAGATATTTCTGTATAAAGACACTGTCCACAACAATGTTTACTGACGGGAAAAGTTGGAAGTAACCTACATGGCAAGAGAAGTGAGGAAAAATGGCTCACTATGTTGGGGCAATCAATGCAATGCAATAATACTCCACCGTGAACATTATACTGCCTGACTACAATGTTGGAAACCTGTGTAGATTCTAATTTGAACAACATCTAAAAAAACCTTCATAGACAATCAAGGAACTCTGAAACTGACTAATATTAATGAGGTTAAGAAATTACCATATTTTTTAGGGATGATGATGGTATTCAAGTTATGTCTAGACACAGAGTCCTATCTTTTAGAGACTCAAACTGAAGAATTTACAGATTAAATTATGTGCGTCAGGGATTTGTTTAAAAATAATCCAGAAGGCACAAAGCCAGCGGGCTGGGTGGAGCCTGGATGATAGCTGCAGACGTGTCTGTGAGCAATGATGCGTGGAGGTACGTCATGCTGCGCTCTGTACTGCTGTGTGCATCGAGAGGTAAAAAGTTGTAAAGAAAACGGAGTGCTATCTTTTATTAAGAAGAAAGACAAGCATAAGAAAAGCCCTGCATACTGGAGAAGAGAAACGACTCCTAGCCCTGCCAAAGAGGTCCCAGAAGCAGCCAAGCTCTGTGCCCCTCTTGTTGAAGCCATCTACTGGGTGCCAGGCCCAGCTGGAAGCCAGCCTGCATGGGTGTCCAGTGTCTGCTGGGCCTTCCTTTATTCTGAGACACATGAGCCCAGAATTGCAAGTGTTGGATGTTACTGTGGTAAAGCTTTAAAATTTCCTACATAAGCAACAGTCAGGGGTTAAGTGGTGATGATCACAGATTTACTTGCACCAGGAAGAGACACAGGCAGCTACTCTAATGTCATAAGAGTGTTCTTGTGACAGGGTGAAGGACTGAGCAAGGACAGGGTCTTGAGCAAGGTGATGGATGTGATGACAAGCTGATCAGGATGTAACCCTAAAGATACACAGGATATGTACCCCCATGTTTATTGCTGCTTTATTTACAATTGGAAAAACATGGAAGCAGCCCAAATGCCCAAACGTAGATGACTGGATTAGAAAGATGTGGTACATATACACAATGGAATATTACTCAGCAACCAAAAAGAGAAACACATGTCTTTTGCAGCAACTTGGATGGAGCTGGAAAAGATCATGCTTAGTGAGATAAGCCAGAAAGAGAAAGAAAAATACCGGATGGTGTCACTCATAGCAGGAGTATAACGGACCAGGCGAGAAAATAACAAGAATAATGAACAGCCATATACCAGAGACATTTTGTGGGGGTGGAGTGGGGAATGGGATCAAAAACGGGGGCGGGGGGGTGGGGAGGGAAATGCACGGGATTATGGTGATGGCACACGGGTGACTTGGTGATGGGAAACCCACGGGGATTACAATTGAGATGGGGAAAAAATGTACAAAATGATGTAAAAATAAACTTTTGTAAAATAATAATAAAAAAAAGATACACAGGATAAGTCTGTCCAAAGCTCTTCTGTGACACTGAAATACTGGGGGGTGGGGGGTAGGGTGGGGGGGAGCAAAAGGTAACATGAATATGTAAACACAGCCTAATGTTGCTATAATGTAGGATTTAAAAAATTATGTTCATCTAGGAAATTAAATATTCTAAGCAGATGTGTGAGTAACTATTTCATCTATCTTCCTAAAAGCTGACACATCGAAAATGGCCAAAACACAGCTGGAGTTCCTTGTTCGGCACGCTGCTTATCACGGGTGGGGGCGCTGGTCACATTTACCTGAAGAACATCCTTTCTAGGTGGTTGCGTGGCTGCAGGTGTGAACAGTTCAGGATGCAGGGCTGGGGGTGCTGCCTGGGTAGAAACACCATCTCGCCTGGATGCACTATTGGGATGACCTGCATTGACACGGAGAACCGCTGCACCAGCATCCTGGCAAAACAAGGGGCAGGAGAGCCTGGCATCAGCAGCCACACCTGGCCTGAAGTTTGGAAGGAGGCCAGGGAGGGTAAGGCTACCTGGCCCGGCAGTGGGCATGGAGGCAGGACCAGGGGGGACAGCGCCACCTGCTGATGGAGGGAGGGTCCAGGAACTGCAGACTGAAGAGCCCTCTTCCTCCTCTGTCCTATACCCCACCCTCCCCTAGGGCCTTGGTCCAGGAGCCAGAAGTCCTGGCCCATCTATTGGCGCAATTCAGTTCAAACTTTCACTGAGTGCCCAAGACGTGCAGTGCCAGGTGCTGAAGGATGAGTCAGGCGTGGGCTGGCTGTGCCTGCCCAAGGAAAGTGTAAACAAATCATGACCACAGAGCCGCCTACGCGGATTTCGAGGGGCAGAGGAGAGTAGCTGGGTGCAGCTGGGGTCAGGGCGGGTGTGGTGTGTGAAGGAGCCTGGACTCTTCTGGCAGGCGTCCTCAGGCACTCAAGACTAGCAGGGCTCTCTGGGGGGAGCCTGCTCAATGCAGATGCCCAGGCCCCACGCTGCCCTGACTGATGGAGTGGGTGGGAGCTAGGCCCTGGGCTGGGAGGGAACAGGGTGACCGGGTGATATGGGGGAGGGGCAAAACCTGTCACAACTGAAGGCCCTATGAAGGAAGGGGGTTAATAGGATTCCTAAATGCGCTCGATCTGGGAACGCACATGGGCCCCAGCACCATGCCCTGGTGGGTGAGCGCTGTCAGCGTGTGCATGTAGGTAGACACAGACACGCACCTACACGTTCTTATATACCCAAACGCGGCCCTGGGGTCATCCTGAGGGAGCAGAATTTAAGGGAGGGGGAGGGAAGAGGGGACATTTCCTGTTTACTCCATGCAACTGTCTTCTGCTTGATTCTGTAGCAACATAGCAGACACTTGTGAACAAGAATAGCCACAAAGTAGAGAAGAACGCCGGGGTACTGCACTATGTCCTCTCACCAGAGGAAGGCCCCCTGGCGGGGTCTCAGCAAGACCCCGACATGGTGAGCAGAGCTGGGGCTCCCCTTAGGACATCCGATGCACACAGCGGAACTGCAGGCGGAGGAGCCTGGCTGGCCGACCAGATGCAATCTGCCTCAGGTGAGGTGCCACCCTGCATCACAGGCTCATCCTGAGGATGAAGTGGCGCCATGACTGGGGCGACACTCACCCAGGAGCAGAGGGGGAGTTTCAAGACACTCAGCCTTTTGGAAGCAGCCGCCCTCCCTACCCCACACCCCCCCCCCCACTACAATTTTCTGTCTTGTTCATTTCTTTGCTATTTGAGTTTTTGAGTATCTATGACTTCCTGTGTTGCTCTTATAATAATAATAAAAAAAATACAAGTTAAGTCTGTAGGAACTTGGTTCATCTGTATTAGCTCTGTCCTCAAAACCATCAGTCAAAGGGACTTTTGTGATGCTAAGTATAATGTATGTGCATTACTACGAGTTCAGCGATGACTCTCACACGTCTAATTGGGGATTTCCTGTGCCATGGAGAACTGAGGATAAAGGATGATGTTGTGGGGTCCCGCCACGACCCCAGCAGACACATGGGTCTTTTCACTTAAGGACATGAGAGAATGCGGGATGTTGTCCCTCTAGAATGCAGGCTGATCCTAGAGCTTGACCAGATGTTCTGCTCAGGATGACCTGCTTCTTTCTAAGATGGGCAACACCAGAGGCCAAGGGGTTCCCGGTCTCAGGTGACTTTCTGCCAGAAGGTGGCCATCCCCAGCCTCAGCTGAACCCCTTCTGCCCCACGCCCCTTCTGGCTCCTGCTGCTTCCCTGACCCCATTCAGGGATGCAAGAGGCTGCTGGCTTTGTACATCAATCAGGAATTTTCTTTGAAGCAGAGAGTCGAACAGTCCCATCAAAATGATCCACATCAAAACAACCACCTCAAAGTGGCTGTTGTCAAAAAGGCTTTTCCAAAGTACTACTTGAAAATGTCACAGGCCCAGAAAACTATCAGTGATTTCAAAGCCTGGAACATCTTGGTCTTCAGCTGGCTGCCCAGAAAACTCCCTTTCTGTGGGGGAATTTCAAGACACTCGGGCATGGTTTTTTGAATCCTGAATGTGCTTGGCAGAAAGGCCAGGGCTACAGTTATTCTCGCTGTGGAAATTTTATTCAGGCTTTAAAAGGGCTTATTCTGAGACTATCCAGCCCATGAGTGGAGAACCTGGAAAGCAAACCCACGTAAGTTGCCTTCATCACATATGATGTCACGAAGACCCTGGGCTCAAGCCCTCCAATGCCACTTGGGCCTGCAGCCGGTGCTGCAAAACACATGTGCACCCCAGCACCCGTCGCTGGGGCTGCCTGTGGACATGCCTGCTAAAACTTGAGGGGCCTCAGACATTTGGAGCTAAAACTGGTACTAGTTAGGAGGAGACCGGGACTCTCCTCATCTAGGCCAGGGGCTGGCAAACCACACTGTTGGCCACTGTGTCCATGTGGCTGATGGGCGCGTCCCCGCTCAACAACAGCAGAGCTGAGTACTTGCAACACAGACGTGTGATCCTAACGCCTCAAGTACCTACTATCTATATACTGACCCCTGACTGAGTCCACTGATGATTATCAGAAAAACTCGAGAAAAAGACAAATAACCAGCCAAGTTCTTGCTCAGCATCCTCTCTGGGCACCAGTAACAACCCTAGAAGGGGAGCCCTTAGCACGTCTGCGTCATCACACTACACTCCCCTAGTGAGTGTATTCTATTTTATTTCCCCAGTAAGTGGATGCCGACTTAGGGTGTGTATCAAAGCAACCTCTCACTGCTTGGGCCAACCTTATTAGCACTATAATAAAACAGGCTTGCAGAAGGAGCCAAACCTGGGCAGACACGTGTCCCAGGGCACACTGACCAACCTTCCACATGCTAGCAGTGGCCCCCAAGTGCCCCCGCTTTGTGTTCCCCTCGTCCTTAGCAGCCTCAATCCCCACCCCCACCGCAATTAGCACACAAAGGGAAAGAAAGTCAGAGAGAAAGCTCTGTCCTGGCTGGCCCCACTTTCTCCTTCAGCTGATGCCCATTTTCCTCTTTTGATCTCTCCTTCTATTCTCCCTTTGCAGTCAGGTGTGCCCACAGGCTGCCAGAGCCACCCTGGTCAGGTCACCATGACCTCGTGCTGTAAGGGCTGCAGCAGCCCTGGAAACACCCTCTCCCCATCTGACTTTCCTCCTGCCTGCTCAGTCTCCTCCGTGGGAGCCCCAACACTGCAGGATTCCCTGTCCCCAGATTCCTGCTAGTCTGTCTACAGATTCCAGGTCCTCAGAGGGCCACACTAGATCCCGACACACAGTAGATCATCCATTTCTTGCATCATAACTGAATATGGTTTTAAGAGAAGGAGGCAGCTTGAAAATACATAAGCGGTAAACAAGTGGCTGGTTGAAACTGTTTAAGACCAAAAGGGGCCGAGCTCCAAGCCTCTGCCTAGGGGGGCTGCGGGGCTCCCACCCCAGTGCATGGGCCTGTGCCTGCCCCCTGACCTGTGCTCGGGTGTGAGAGATACTTCATTTTCATCGAGATCTAGGGAGCTGAGGTCGGCACAGTTCTGCAGAAGCTGCTTCTCTCGCTCCAGCTCCAGGGACTGCTCCCTGCAGGGAGAAGAGCCAGTGACAGAGGTCAGTGCCGCGCTGGCCAACGGTCTGCAGGAACCCCAAGGAGCACAGCCAGGCCAAGGAACAGGGTGCCGGGGGTCGCACTGTCCTGTCTCCTTGCTCACGGGCTCTCAACTTCCATCTGGAGGGCGTCGGGGGACTGCATGTCATCAACGATAGCTCCTAGTGGGCTGAACAGAGCAGACAGGTCTGACAGGAGAGTTCCTGGAATTTCAAATACCTTGTTTCGGCATTTGCTCACTTTTTAACACACCAAGGTCTGCACCTGGTCCTTCTGCTCCTCCTGGGGTCCCACCACGCTGCCCAGGACATGTGCCCTGCCTCCCTGGCCCCAAATGGCCGTCCCCCAGGTCCTGCTCATCTCCACCCCTCCCCTCCTCTCTGCCCTTCAGTTCAGCAGCCTGGAGTCTCCCTCTCCCCCCAGCAGTCCCTGAGCGCTGCAGGGACTTTCAACCAAGCCCCACCACAGGCCCTGCGTGCCAGCCTCTCTCTGCCCTCCCCTCCCCCCTGCCCTAACCACACCTCGAATCCTGAGTGGGCACTTTCTCTGCCCGCCTTTTCTGTCCTTTCCTCAGATTGCTGAGGGAGCCCTGGAAGCCTCCCCAACCCTCACATTGCCTCTCCAGGTGCTTGCTCTGGTTTTACCCACAAAGACTTTCTAGCCCAAGTCTCTGTCTTGAGTTCAGCTCAAGACAGGTCCTCCAAACCAGTCATCAACTGGGTGATTTCTAGTGGATACCCAGGGCTCCTCTGATGTCGAATGCTCCATTTTAAGTTCCTCTTCCCCACACAAGCCATCATCAGCTCTACAAGCTGCCTCCCAGGGGCTCCATTCAGGGAGCTGAGTGTGAGCTGCTCCCCAGGGCCCCATCTTATCGCCTTTCACCCTGATTCTTCTCTAACCCCCTCTCCATAATGCAGCTGAGTGTTCATAAGGCCTCTTGTGAATAACCCCCATTCACACCTGGCTGTGTCTCCTGGTTTACCCACCCCTCGCCTACTCCTCTCCCCCACGCAGAGGTCCAGTCTCAGCTGGCACCAGGATTTCCGCCCTACGCTCCATTGTGTATGAGGTCACACCTGCTGCCCTCCAAATTTTTATCATTCAAGACTCATGGACAAGGGCATCTCTGGGGAGCCTTTTCTGACCCCCAGCTAAAGTCAGATCACTCTTCTGGGCCCTTTACTGCATGGCAATGCTGTAAACATGTGAATATCCAGGGAGGCAGGGCCTGCATGGTCATCTCTGTAGACAGACCCAGTGCCCAGGACCTGGCCCAAAGCAAGACCCCCAGGTGGTGTCAGAATGACGTGACTGCATGGAGGGTCCCTGCAGAAAGGGTCCTCAGGTGCTTTCTAGTATCTGCTGTATTTACACACCGTGCTGGGCACCGTGGCAATAACAGAGACACATGTCCTTCTCTAACGCACAATCTAGCTGGGAGAAAATACGCTCAGGAGAGCGAGTTAGACAACAAAAGTGGTGGGCTTCTTCGAATCTGGAGTGTCTGGGGACAGGAAATGATGCTGGGGTGGGCCAGAGGGCTGGAATGGACAGAGGAGAGAAAACAATAATTCACTACACACAAATATGCCACTCCTTCCCTTGAGCAAGAACATGGGTTTGTGGGAAAAACAGAGAGGAGGGAGGCATCATCCTGCCCAGCAGAAAACGCATGATGGGAACGCAAGCACTAGACAAGAGCCTTGCCGACGCCTGCACTTGACTTCTGCAGACGGAGCGAGCACACACTCAGCAAAAACAAAACGAGGGGAGAGGACATGCAGTGACACAATGAGCTAGCTCATGTTCCACCAGAAAGCACAGACAGACGTGCAGCTGACCCTAACGTCTGAGTGGCTGCTCCTGGGCAGCCCCAGCCCTTGGCCCCACCAGGCCGTCTGCAGTGTGAGGAGCCTACTGTGTGGAGTAGGAGTCTGGTGTTTGCAGCCAAAGTAGGCTCCCAGGACCAGCCAGCTGCCCCTGGCATCTGACTGAAGAAAGAGCATGTATGTGCTGGTGCTCTATTGCCTAAGGGACTTCTGCTTTTGAGGGTCATGACGTCTCTTTAGAAACCCACTCCTACATGGGCTGTGGCTCCCTGCACTATCAGAGGGAAGGCAGATGCGAAACAGATGAGGGGTGGTGGGAAAATGAGCCAAGTGTGCTCAAGCGCGGGTGTGTTACGGGCAGCAGGAAATGCTGGGCACTTCACATCTGCCCCGCATTATCATCAAGGCAAGAGGTTGCACACCTCCGTGTCAAAATGATCTGCTCTTCCCATCTGAGAGCCCCCAAATGGGCACGACTCGGGCAGAACAAAGCCAAGGTGGAGAGAGGGTCGGAAACCGGGGTCTGTACGTGGTGGGAGTGCATGTGGCTCTCTGCCCCAGGAGGGGGCGGCTCAGGACTGAGGGGGGGCCTCCGGGGGCAGCGGGGCAGGGGCGGGGGGAGGCCACTTCACTCTGTGAGACTCGTTGGCTGTGAGTCTCAGAGCACGACCCGCTCCCCAAGTTACTGCCAAAGGCCTGGAATGACCATCGAGATGGACCCTTCCCCACACTCACCTCTTCTCCTGCAGTAAGTAATCCAAGCTATTGATGTAGCTTCCTGAGCCCTCAGAGGCGGGCTGGAGACAGGAGTGGGAATGAGGAAGAAAGACAAACACAAACACAGAGGGGCAGAAGAGTCCATTGTAATCTGAGTTAATCTGAGTTATCTGTTTGCTTTTCTAAACAGGTAATACATTCACATGATTAAAAAAATCAAGAAGTATACAGGCACTCAGTGATCTCCCCTTAACTGTGATGTCAGTTACCTGTAGTCGACTGTGGTCCGACATGCTATATACAGTAAGATATTTTGAGAGAGAGACCATATTTTATTACAGTATACTATTATGATTGTTCTAATTTATTATTTATTGTTTCTAATTTTTTACTGGGTATAGTTTATAAGTTAAAGTATATCATAGATATGTATGAACAGACAAAAACCTGTATATATAAGATTTGGTACTATATGGTTTCAGGCATCCACTGGAGATCCTGGAACACATTTCCCTCAGGTAAGGGGGGGACCGCTGTGAGGTAAAACATTTTCCCCTTATCTCCATCCCCAGCCATGTTGGTCCCTCCCCACAGGTATACTCAGGTGTTTATTCCTAAATATGTCTGGGATGTCAGATATATTTTATGCTTAAATGGCAATATATAGGTTTCCCACTTAGCAGAAATGGTAGCAGGCTATAACCTTATCCTACATTTGGTTGTTTTCAGTTAATAGATGTTTACTGGATCATTTCTTATCAATAACAAAGAGTTGATAAAAATATTTTTCAGTGTATTCTGATGTATAAATAAAACATAATTAGTTCCCTAGGGGTGGACTTTTAGGTTATTAACAATCTTGGGCTATTATAAACAAGTAAAGTCCCCATATTATAATAAACATTCTGGATTTTTGGGCCTTTAAATGTTCCCACAATCCACCTAACAGCAGCAGTTTATTCCCAACTTGAAGTTCATTTTGGAAGTTTCTGGAAGGAATCCCAGTCTACCGAACCATTATCAGACATAGCCCAGACTCTGGCAGCAAGGTCCTGCTTTTCTCCAGAGCCATATGCCCACCTCGAGCTGTCGAAGCCTGAAGGGCCACGCACAGGAGTGGTAGCACATCTGGCACCAGCCCCCAGCCACCCGCAGGAGTCAGGAGCACAAATAAAGGGAGAGGTCTTGGGGGCACAAGCTCCCAGCCACGAGGGCCCTGGGTGGGAGAAGTCAGGAGTGTGCACCCAAGGAGAAATGGTCAAAGAGGCAGCCAAAGCAGGCAGCTGGGGTGTGCCCAGGGAGTGGCCAAGTAGGACTGAGGGTGGGTTGAGGAGGGCAGAGAAAGGCAGGCCTGGGAGGCCTCTGGCTTACCGAGGTCTGGGTGTCCCCCGCAGCGACTGCCACCTTCTGGCTCGGCCCTGCCAGCTTCAAGAAGAGTTCCTCCAGTGAGGCCAGCTCCCCCCTGGGGTCCACGCCCTGGGGTTCCTGCTCCATCTCCTCTGGCAGCTGGCAGGCTGGTGTGCTCAGGCCCTGGGGACCCGCTGCACCAACCTGTGTCTGGGCTGGCGCCCCGCTGCCGGCGTGGGGTGCCCTGGGGTTCAAGAACTCTATAGGTGGTGGGCTCCAGTCAACGGGGAACATGTCTCCAGGTGCCTGCATCTTGGACTTCTTTGGCAATTTGGGAGTCGGAGCAGAGTTGGGGCTGCAGAGGCGCCGAGAGGAGCGGAGGTGCAGGGGATGGTCAAAGGCGTTGTGCTTCAGGGTGGGCAGGAGGATGGGTGTGACAGCGGTTGCCTGGACCCCTGTGGACAGGACAACGCGCTGGCTGTGGGTCCCCGCCCACCTGCCACCAGCCCAGCTGCTGTGCTCCACGGGTCAAGGAGAAGGGACAACTTGGGAGTGCCATGCGCAGGGCGCCAGGGGAAACCCTCAAGGGGGATTCCCCTGTTAGACTAAAACCTCAGAAGGTCCCACCTGTGCAGGTGGGGGAACCTACCTTTTCTCGGAGGAAGGGCTAGCAGGGTCTTCTGGGGCCTGGCCATGGGCAAACCACTGGAAGTTTGAAAGAAACCTCCTGTCAGTAAGGTTAGCCGACAAGAAAGCTAAGTCCCTGGGTCCCCGAGCGAGGAGGGACTGGGCCCGCGGGTGCCCCGGAGAGCTTCCTCCTGGTCCAGTCCCACCCCAAGAATGAGCATAGACACCACGGAGACCAAGTTGCTGAGGTGAAGGCGGCTCCACCTGACCTCTCATTTCAAGGAGGTGATGGCCAAGTAAAAGGACAGCAACATTTTTACACCTGCACAAGATCAAAGCCAGCAGGGCAGCCTGCCCTTGGAGGGTCCCTGTGAGGCTGTCTGCTCACAGGGGTGGGGCAGGCCTGTGCGGGCCGTGCCATTCCCCCGGCACCAGCGCCGACCTGGCACACAGGAGAGCTCAGCGCGTTTCTGTTGAATGAATGAGTAATTTCTAGATCTCTCGAGGCCAACCCAACAAGCCTCCTTCAGGGTTAGGAACTGCCTGTCAGCCAAGACAGACTGTATCACATATTCAGACATCACTCATCATATCAAGCCCAGGCCCAGATAAACTGATGCAGAGGGAAGCTAATACCTGGGTGAGCTAATGATCAAAGCAAACAGCAGTTTACAAGAAACACAAATACTAAACTGACAAGGGTTCAAACTCAGCAATTGTAAAAGAAATTTAAATCAGGCCGACTAGCAAGTATCATTAAACAACAGCAACAACAATGCAATAGGAGTGGAGCAAAAGATAATGAAACAATAAAACAAATTTAAAATTTATAAAGTCAAATGCTGACATAACTATCAGGAAATACACTAGTGTTATCAGTGTAAAATGGTTTATTCTTTTTTAGAAAACAATCTGCCAATGTAAAAATAACTACCAAAGCGTCTATCTCTACAAACTCCAGAAATCAGTGCTTCCACAAAAGCAACAATTAAGTTGGCAGAAACCGTCAAGAGCCAACAGTAACGGAACTCTGGAGTCCAGTAAAATAATAGCAACGAGAAGAAAGGGCTTAATGAAGAAAGAAGCTGCTAAATTTCACTCAGATTCCTTTCATCCCCACCCCTAGCTCAGAGGCAGCATGGGGACTCCATTCTTGGTGTCACTGGCTAGTGTCCTCAGGGGGGTCCATCAAACTTGTTCTCACAGACCGATTACATGTTTTGACCTCATGGCTTCTTGGGGGATTGCCCAGGGCTTTGCCTTTGTTTACCCACCTTGGGACTTTCTCAGAGCTATGAGGTCCCCTGGGAAGCATTTGCTAACAACACTTAAAAGCAAATCTACTAGCCACTGTCACTGGGAGCAAGCTATAACACATCAGGTCAATAGCACAGAGAGGCCAAGCAACCTGAAAATGAAAAGACTGAGAAATAAAGGCTTTGAAAGCTCCCACGTAAAGCAGAATCAAGAAGACACACTCATGTGCAGGGTTGGTGCAGGCTGAGGAGAGACCGAGAAGGCCCAAAGCAGCTCATTGGGCCCCACGAGGTTGGTAAGAGGAGGTGTAGGCCCAGGTGACATCCCAGAGAGTGTCTAAGGAGCACTCCAAGACAGCCAATCTGTAAGGGTCAGAAATTCCCTTTTTTTTGATTCTGGGCAACTAAGGAACTCGATCAAGTTACCAGCTGTCCACAAAGGTAAAGAGCAGCAACTTCAGTGACCACACACAATAAAACAACACAGTCAGTGGACAAATTACCACAACTTCTCACAAGCAACCAGAGCAGACCCTGGCAAAGGGAGAGATTCTTATTTCCAGGGTTACTGCATTATAACATTCAAAATGCCTGGTTTTCAACAAATGATCATAAGGCATACCAAAAAAAAAAAAAAAAAAACCAAAATAAAAAACAAACAACAACCAAAAAAAAAAAAAACAAAAACCAAAAACACAACAACAACAACAACCCAACAAACTATGATCCATTCACAGGGGAGGAAAGAACTGTCTCTCAGGAAGTTAAGACATTGGACTCATTAGAAAAAAGTTAAAAGTCAGCTGTCTTAAATATGCTGGAAGTGTTAAAAGGAATCCATGGACACAGAACTAAAAGAAAATAGGAGAATGCTGCCTCACCAAGATGAGAATATCATAAAAGATACACAGAATACACAAAGGAACCAAATGAACATTTTGGAGTTGAAAACAAAAACTAAAATGAATACCCACTAGGATTTTCAATACTAGACTGGAGCAGTAGGATTTTCAATATGAGATTGGAACAGGTAGAAGAAAGAATCTGAACTTTGGCTAGGTTACTTGAGATTATCAACTGAAAAACAAAACTAAAAGAAGGAAGGAAATAAGCACAGTCTCAGAGAGCAGGGGGACATCATCCGGGGTGTCAACATACGCTGGGGTTTCCAGGGGCAGAGGGGGTAGGCAGGAGGAACACTCTAGAAACATTAGAATCAAAGTATTAAAGGACAATGACAGGAGGTGGAACAGGAGAGGGAGGGGGAGAAAAAGAAAAGATAAAGAATTTTAAAAGCAGTAAGAAAAAGGAGTTACCCATCAATCTGCAAAGGAGTCTTAATAAAATCAACAACTGATTTCTCATTATGCAGATCAGTAGGCAGTGGGATGAAACATACAAAATGCTGAAAAGTAAAGACTGTGGACCAAGAATACCACATGTAACAAAGGTATTCTTTAAAAAGAACAAGTTAAGATATTCCCAGATAAGCAAAAATTGAGGAAAATCATTGCTAGCAAACCTGTCTTGCCAGAAACATTAAGTAAGTGCTCCCAGTTGAAATGAAAGAATATTGGGAGTAACTTGAAAACACATAAAGAAAATGAAAACGGGCCCTCCCTGGTGGTGCAACCGGTGAAAACACAGCACGGTGAAGCTATCACAGCCACTGAAGCACAAATCTGATCCCCAGCCAGGGAGGTGACCCACATGGCACAGCAGACCTCTCCTGACCTGCCCACTGCTCCCCTCAGCAGTGGACTTCAATCATTCTGCTTGTTCTGCTCTCTACTCTGTCTCTGGTGAATCCTTTCATTCCCCCGCACCTCTGGCCTGTATGCCTATATCCCAGTTCTTATATGCATAAATAAATAAATCTTAAAAAGAAAGAAAAAGAAAACACTAATAAATATAAAAAAATTATAAATCTTTAGCTAGACTGATCAAGAAAAAGGGAGAGAAGCCCAAGTTTCAAAATAAGACATCAAAGTGGGACATTACGTGTGCTTTAGAAATAAAAAAGAATTAATACAAAGACTACTAAGAACAGTTTTACATTATTATCTCCCATTCCCCCCAAAAGATGAGAAACTTCCTACTTACCCTGTGAGTTAGCACTGACACTAAAGTCAGACAAGAAAACTATAACCTAATTATTTCTTTATAAATATAAAATCCTCAATAAAATGCTAACAAGTCAACACGTTAAAAGAAGTATACAACATGAGCTAATAAAATTCACCCCAGAATGGAAGGGAGATTCAAAATACAAAAAACAACCAGCATAATACATGGCCTTAATAGAATGAAGGGAAAATAAAACATGATTACCTTATTTAACAAAATTCAACATCATTCACGATAAGGAAAACACACATACACACACACAATAAACTAGGACTAGAACTTCCTTAATTTAATTTAAAAAATTATGAAAAACCCACATTAACTGCATATTCCATGATGAAAGACTAAACCCCCCCCCTCCCAATAGCAAGAACAAGTCAAGGATGCCCGATTTTTCCACTTGTATTGAACAATATACTGGAAATTCTAGTCAGGCCAGTCAAGAAAGAAAAAAAAAAGAAAGCATTTAAATTACAAGGAAGAAACAAAACCAGGTCTATTTGCAGGGGACATGACCTTGCATAAAGAAAAACCTAAGGTATCCATTAAAAAACTACTAGTACTAATTAATAAACAGGCTCAGCAAAGCTATAGGATACAAGATTAATATTTAAAAAATCTATTGTATTTCTGTACACCTGCAATAAAGGATACAAGATTAATATTAAACAAATCTATTGTATTTCTATACACTTGTAATGAGCAATCCAACAATGAAATTAGGAAGACAATTCCACTTAAAATAGTATAAAAAAGAATAACAGAGACACAAATATCAAATCATTATTCTGTATAGCTGAAACTAACATAAGATTATATGCCAATTCTATCTCAATAAAAAAAGAATGTGATTAGGAATAAATCTACAAAACAATGTTGAAAGAAATTAAAGAAGACATCAAAAAATGGAAAGGCATCTCATATTCATTGATTAGAAGGTCCAATATTACTAAAATGGCAGTTCTCCCCTAAGGGGACTCTATCAAAATCCTAGGGTATTTTTATAAAAATGGAACAGCCCATTCTATAATTGATATTATATCATACAGGACTCTGAAACAATTTTTTAAAAAGATTTATTTATTTATGCATATAAGAACTGGGGTACAGGCCAGAGGTGCAGGAGTGGGGGGTGGGTAAGAGGATTCACCAGAGACAGAGCAGAGAGCAGAACAGGCAGATCAATTGAAATACACTGCTGAGGGGAGCTGCAGGCAGGACAGGAGAGGTCCGCTGGCCATGTGGGTCAGTTTCCTGGCCAGGGAGGGAACTAGCACTGAAGCGGCTGTGCTAGCTTGCAGGGCTGCATCCTAACCTATTGCACCACCAGGGAGAGCCCCACTGATGCTCTTTTTATGGAAGCATTTTAACAGACTGCAAAGCAGGTCAGTAGTAAAAATTACAAATCATACATATGTTAAAAAGCAGTAAATTGTTTCCTTTGTTTACATAATGCCTGGGAAAGGGGTTTGGAAAACAGTCTTTCAGTTAAAGGGAGAGGTTACCATATGATCAAGTAATTCCATTCCTGGGTATCTTCAAGAGAGGAATGATATGAAATGGCCACACAAAATCTTGTACATGAGTATCTCATTATTTACTAGAGCTAAGACACATCGTCTATTGAATGGATAAACAAATGTGGTATAGTCATGCGATAGAATATTATTCAGTCATAAAAAGGA